TCGTATATAGTTCCACTGGCGTGGCTTTATCTTTTTGTATACAGCTGTCACAGATTTGCGTGAGCGAGGTACAAACCGAGCGAAAAGTCTGAACTGACTTATGATCCACACGTGAACACCCCAGCCTTTTGGATTAAAATGTAACAAAGGTCCACTGCTCTCGGGATACACCCACATGATAATTGTAAGTGAGTATCTTGTGTCCAGACAGCCGTTATTGGGAATCAAAACATAACTGTTTCTTGTTCCTCTAAAGGAAAGGGCTCCTTGTGGATGATTGTCTGGGCCACGTGCGTAGTAAACACCTACAAATGTGGCAGGTGGGTTGACGTATCCACTGGTGTCACGGTTCTTGGAGGCGCCGGTGAGCTGATAAACTGCAACTGCTCCACGGCGAATAACTAAGAAAAGAGAGTACGAATAATTATCAAATGCATGGTAGGCATGGTTAGTTGCTCTGATGATGAAATTAAGGGTTTTTAGGAAGGTCACGAGTAATCAGAAATTGCTGTTGTCTCATTGCTGTGGTTAGTGTGCTGATAACCATCCCGAGAATTACACTGAACGTTAAATTTAACGCGGCAACTAAGCTCAGCTACTGATGATAAATAGATCTGATCTTGATAAAGGTTATAGGACAGATATTAATTAAAACGGATTGCTCCGAAGACGAAAAAAAGGGTTTTTTAGGAAGGTCACGAGTGATCAGAAAGTACTATGGTCCCGTCACTTCACAGTAGTGAAGACACATGTCCCTAAATTAAACTTACCAGGAGAGTAACAAATCCTGTCCTTTAATGTTTTTACAATGGACAAAAGCTGTGTATACCCAACCATAAATACATGCTTTGTGTCAGTTGTAACTCGTAACAGACTGGTCCTTCTGATGCTGCCAATACCAATCGTGAATATCTCCACACCAGCTCCCTTAAGTGCCTCGGCTGGTCTCTTTACCCTATCGACCCACTGTCCCGTCGTCACAACAATCAGAACTCTTCGCCTCCCACACCGAGGTTTTCCTCCAAATAGGTAACGTCTGGTATATGCCAATGCCCTACCTAGATACCTTCCGCGTCCAACAACACCAATTCTTCTAAAGGCATTATAAATTTGACCACGAGTGTATCTCGAAAATCCAATAATTCGACTGGGACGAGATGCATATGTTATCACCCCTATACGTGCCGCTCTACTCGTGATGGTAAACCGGCGAACAGTCTCCCTCAAAAACTGAACGATACGGGGGATGTTTCTCCTTCCAGAGCTGCTCGCATCAATAAGGAAGCCGAGGTCAACACGGGCTGTGCAAACTGTGCATAAAAAAAAAAATGACCAGAGGTAATTTTTTTCAAAATACTGCACTACGGCAGAATGTTCTTGGAATCATTTGGATACGGAGCACCAAAAGATGTTATCTCGCTAAGAAAGTTATGTCACTTACCGCAAGGTAATCGCAAACCCTGAACAAATTAGACGAGTTTTGCATTGTGTTAAGATCGGACATGAGTTTAAGCTAAATAATGTTGCATTGATATATCATTGATGTCTTGATCCCAGGAATAGAGAAGTTTTTTTTCGTAGGTATCTATTGTTGCCGGTTTATTCAATTTCAATACAGGTTCTGGTGTCGTGTGATTAGTACGAGGAGATAAAAACCATATTACGTCACGGATTTGTGGCTTACCTCTTGGAGCAGGTGTAGGTTTACGCGTCGGAGTTGGAGTTGTGATGGGCACTAAAACAAAGGACAAAAGTTAAGTAAAACTTAAGCTATCAGAGAGCATTCGATTGAGTGTTATGAAATCAAATGTCAGGTAAACACAACGAGCCAATGGTAATTCATGTTGAATCAAATGAACTGGCTGATGTAAGGGATTAAAAATGGAGAAACTCAAATTAAGAGGAAACTAAAGAAAGATGCATTACCTTTCCTGAAGCATCGTTTCTTAGTCTCTTCAATCTGCTTCCTGTTTAGCGCCACACTGTACAACTGAAGACAAAACAGACGACCACGGAAGTACTCCCTGCTGCCTCTCTGTCCACCGAGTCTGATTGCCTTCCTGGTTTCTAACTGAACTTTACCAATTGTTCGTCTAACAACTGGTTTGGAATTTACCCAAATGGTCACTACTTGACTTCGCTCGTGATATGTTACAGCTATGTAGCTCCAAGCCCTGTAATTTATAGCTCTTCCTCTTGTCTGTACCGTTATTGTTGTCCTTCTTATTCGTCGAACAATTATCACTTGAAGTACTCTGGGACTGATCATGCGCAGCTGGAAGCCTCTCCGGTTTGGATTGTAGTTAAGTATAACACCACGTCGTCCCTCGTGATATACCCAAATACAGACAGTGATGGAATATCTAGCGTCTAGTCTCCTTTTGTTAGGAATCTCCACGTAGCTACTTGATCTTCCGTAAAATTGTGAAGAACCGCCCCGTCTGCCATCAGGGCCTTGTTTGTATGTGACACCATAAAATCTGGCTGATGGGTTTCTATTACGACTGATGTCTCGTCCGCGCCTGATGTAGTCCAGCGGATACACAGCCAGTGTTCTGGGAAGTTCCACTATAGGATGTAAAGAAAATGAAATTGTAAGTTTAAGTAGAAAAAAGCAAATCCTGAATTCGCAAAGCTGTGTTTAAAAGTGTGAGTATCGGTGCGAGAGAGTAAATGCAAAAGTTTAAAAGCACGTAATCATTGTATTTTTTTATTTATGCCAAGCAATATTAAGAAAAAAGGTGAAGTTAGCTGATAAAATCAGACACGCTGAGGAAGATAAGGAAGCAGACTTTAAAGAATTACACAGGAATAATTGAACAAAAGAAATCGATATAAGAGATTTAGAATAGTTGTATAGTTACCTCGTTGTGTAGTGGTTGGTTTGCTGATAGGGCGGACGGTGGGTACTGAGAGTTAAGAAAGACAGAGTGAAAAAATGTGCAATATTCATGAGCTCCTTATTCACAAAGTAGCAATGAATTGTTGTGGAGAAGAGATGATTCCTAACGCATTTTCGATGCGTGGTGTTTCTGCGAGTGTTTTTGCTATCCAGACAGTGATATGGTTTTCAAATGTCATAACATCATCTCTACCACAGTAAGATTGGGAAAAGAAAATAGAAAATAATTTCTTTCAGACAAATAAGATAGTAAACCTAAATCATATGTTGAAACAGTTATTGCTGTGAGTTCCCCATCCTTCCTCTTCAAGTTTCAAAGGAAACTACTTATGCAGAGCAACTATACAACCAGCCATCTTTAAGCCACTCCACATCATCATCTTTTGAAAGCACGATTTTAGCACTTTTTTCACGCAAAAGTTTCATTAAAATGAAATCATTAACAAAAGTGCCCTGAATTCTACCGCTATCTTGTTTTCTTTTTAATGAAACAATACGATCCTGGTATAGAAGAGAAGTAAAGATCTTCTGTACTCACCAACTTTTTGCCGCTGGCACACTTGGTTCTTTATGCCCGGTATAATTGTCATTAGCATGCTAAATGAGGTGGTCAGTACATGCTTCTGATCTGTAGCTATCTGGTGCAACTGTCTACGCCTGTAGTTCTTTCCAACACCCACTGCGAACACTTCAGTGCCAGTGGCCTTTAGGCGACTTGCAGCTGGACCAACACGGTCTTGTGAAATACCATCAGTGATCAACACCAGCACCTGCTTTCTCCTCCGAGGTATCCGTCGTTTGAAGAGGTAGTTTCGGGTAAAATGTAAAGCTTTTCCGATGCGCGTGCCCCCTCGAGGATAACGAACCTGATCGATCGCCCGAAGGACTTGCACTTTAGACGAATAACGTCGGAACCCAAAAATTGGGATCGGTCGAGAAGAGAATAACACAAAACCGATTCGTGACTTTCCTTTAGACACTTCAAAGAAGCTGACCAACGATTTAATGAGGTTTAGTATACGAGCAAAGTTTCCCTTACCTTGGTATTCGATGCTTCCAGATCCATCGACAAGGAACCCGAGGTCTATTCCAATCTTACACACTAGATACGACAAACAAAGGAAAGACAAAACACATTACATTTTACGCCCGATATAAACAGTGTGATATCACACTTTCGTTCGATTAACAGGTCTAATATTTTTGCGAGTTCACAAAGCCATACTTGATAAATCATTGAGATAACGCTTGGCAAAGACAAGTAACGCCGGCTTCATAGATAAAAAAGGCTCTAAATCAAAGCCCAACGGTAATGCTACTTCCAATACTACTACCAATAATAAACGATAAACAATAAATAATAAATAACAAATAAATAATAAATAATAAATAAATAATAAATGACAAATGATAAATTACGACTTTAACGTACTTTCTGGCAGAGGACGTGTAGGAGTTACGACTGAAAAGAAAAATGAGACAAAAGTGATTATCACAAAAAATGCAATATCTAAGATAGCAAGCCTCACCTTATTTCTGACTTCGACCTTAAACTCAATGTAAACAAAATCTTAAAAAGACGCCGCATAAAAGGAGGAAAGTTCCGTAACCTCCAAAAAAGCTGTCACTTTTTATAGCGTTTATCAGCGGTGGCAAAAGACGCCTCTCCTGAAGTTAAACAATTTTAGTCTCGGGTTTTGGAGTGCTTGAGCAATATCTTTCACAGTGATTATCCAGAGTTTAACACATTTATTTTTAGCATTGAAACCTACTTACCTGGAGGCGTTGGCTTTGTGATGGGCCCTAAATATGAGCGAGAAATAAAGGAAATTAAAATGGCCTTTCCATCACCATTGGCAATATTGTCGCAATCTGATTGGCCAATTCTCCGTTGTCGATAACAGTAGAGAAAACGCTTCTCTCGTCAACGTGTCACGCAACGTGTCACGCACTGAAAGTTTTATTTGACGCCGATGTTGTGGTAAAAAACAAATCCACGGTGGCTTAGCTTGGCTGCGTCTCGTGAGTCCACAACATTTTAACAACTGTGATGAAGAATATCGTTGTCGATAAGAGTGCAGACCACGCTAAACCACTGTCAATTTGTTGATTAGATCTGTACTAAAATATGTCGAAAATCGATGACAGTGGTAAAGCTTGCTCGTAAAAGTAACCATTTTGTTGTTTCGCAAAGTTAAAAGGGCTAGCCTGCATTAAAAATCTCATTACGCTTTCCATTCATTTCATAAACAGTTTGTGAATCTTTTTTCAAGTATTCCCAGGCAAAACTTGATAGAACTGTTCTCCCTAAAATAAAAGTTCCTATAAAAAATAAAACAGATCCTACACGTTGAGCTTATATCAATTGTTGTCTTCTTTTGAACAACCAGTAGGCTAATTATAGTTTTGATGAAAGATGAGTTTTCTGTTTATCGTGCTTATATAAATACAACCTTGCCTAAAATGATATATTTTGTTTTATGAGTGTGCTGACTTAAAAAAAAAAAAAAAAGAAAAAAAAATTGGTGGCCCATTCGACTCATCAAATAATTGGCGTTTGAAAACGTGCAAACCATTTTGGTACAACTTAAGTCAAAGTTTTCATCGTGTGTCTTACGATATTGAGTCTTTTCAACTGTAAATTGCAACGTGAAGAATGCCTTTGCTTGTCTTTATTAGGCATTAAACTTCGACGAGCACGCATCACCATAGCTTTCTAAAAGCAGGCAATCAACATAGATCAACTTACATTTCTTGAAACACCGCTTCCGTGCTCCACGTATCTGTTTCGCGTTTAAAGCGATACTATACACTTGCACGCAGGAGATTTTACCGCGGAAAGCCCTTTTATCGCCGATTCGCGCACCCATCCTGATTGGATAATTCGTGGCTAGCTCGAAGCGGCCGATGCTCTGTCGCGCCACAGGTTTCGAGTCCAGCCATAATGTAGCGACACCGGTGTTGTAATCGTAAGTGGCTCCGATGTAGTTCCAAGCTCTATAACGCGGTTTTGTAGAGTAGGTCGCCACTGAAGATGTTCTCCCTCGTGAGCGTTTAACAAAACGAACGAAAAGTACTCTGGGTCCAACCATCCATAGATGAACTCCGAAACCACGCCGATCGTAATTGAAGATAGGCCCAGACCTCCCGTTGTGGTAAATCCAAGCCAAGATGGTCATAGAACGCCTGGTATCAAGCCTTCCATTGTTTGGGAATTCGATATAACTGTTTGACGATCCGAAGAACTGAGTTGATCCCTTGGGATTTCCGTCGGGTCCAGGTGCTGGACGGACATGCGATGGGATACCGGGCGGGTTGTTACGAGTGATATCTTTGGTTTTTGTTTCACCATCCAGAGTGAATATGGCTACAAGAGGCGGTAACTCTGAAAGACAGAAAATCACCCTCGGTTGCCACACGATATCTATATCTTTGTTAGAATAAATCATGCATTCATATAAAGCGTTTTTGACATTATTCCCTGCCAACGTTAAGCTCTTTTTATCAGGAAGATGAAATCTGTAACCCAAAGTTTAACGTGTTGAATGACCATACTAGAAGTCACACAGTTCAATAATTAACTTGTGTCATTGAAGAAGAACCAGTACGTACCTGGAGGAGGCGGCTCTGGTGGGGGAGCACCTAAAATAAAAAAAATCACATAGTGGCAATTAAAAGCAAACATATCGACTCAGCTTAAAGTGTGGAATATTGCAGGGATTTAAGCTCGGCCGACTAATAAGTCTTAGGGTGAAGTCTACATCCGCAACTGACTGGAATAATTGCCACATGGGAGCTCAAAATTTAACTATTGGAAAATATAAAACAAGATATCTCAATGAATACTTTTTCTTCGTGAGCATGTCTCGAAACTAGGCTTCAAAGATAAGTAACTTGACCGAAAGAATGCCCCAGTCTCCGCTCTCGCCTGAATTAGTATAACTTTATGATAACGGTCGGTAAAAAACTAAAGCAACTAGTGAGGAATTTTTATGACTTACGCTTTTGGAACTCTTCTTTTACAAAAACTTGTGAAAATTCTTCACTTTCGATTTGTGAGAGCTAGGCTATTATCCCATGAGGAACCAAAAAGATCAGGGCTTAGATGGTATTCTCTGGAAGAGACTTGAAGTTTTATCACACAAATTTGCAGAATGAAGCGATATTTTTAACGAATTTTCATCAACGTATAGAATTCCTGTGGTGTACGAAGTGGTGTAGTTTTTTTTTCAGATATGGTATAGCGTAATAGCCGAGAGTCAAATCCAGTAGTGCTCACCTCTGAAACAAACATTACGTCGCTTGTTCATCTGAGGTCCCGTTAGTGCCACATCAAACACCTGCATACAAGCAATCCGACCACGGAAACGAGTTCTAGATCCTGGTCTACTTCCCATAATCGCGGGATAATTGGTAGCGAGCCTCAAACCTCTTCCGATATTTCTCTGTGCAATGGGCGTTGACTCGCGCCAGAGGGTAGCTAGCCCGGTCTTACAGTCATAACTTGCAGCAATATAGTTCCAGATCCGCGGGCGAATACCTTGTGCTCTCAGAATAAACGACCCACGACCGGAGCGCCGAACGAACTTTACATACAAGGTATTCTTCCTTAAGATCCAGAAGCTTACGCCCGAGCCTCGCGGGTTGTAGTGGAATATAGGACCACCTTTCTCAGGGTGGACCCAAGCTAGGAGAGTAATTGAGTTTCTGGTATCAATGCCACCATTATTAGGGAAATAGATGTAGCTACCACGCTGACCGGTGAAATAGAAGGATCCCCGTGGAAACTTGTCTGGTCCAGAGGCCAAACGTACTTGACTGGGACGCCCGGGTTTATTTTTCCTGGGGCCGATGTCTCGTCCTTGGGTTCTGCTGTTCAGGGGATACAGTGCCACGGCACGGGGTGGTTCTGTAAAATAGCTATACTTTACTTTTGCTATTCATCGCATGGAGCACATTTCGATTAAGTTTCTTAACCTCAAACCAAATTTATCACAGCCGCCATTCGAATGAACAAAATTATCTTCTGTGGTATTTCACAACTTTTAGAAAAAAACACAAACAAAATGCCTGAAGCGCGGGAAGACGCAGGGGAACAAATCGTAATTGGTTTTAGCTTCGCCTATCACTGATTTCGATGGTGGGGCGAGTTTTCTAAACCATTTACAGAGCGAATCAAAGCAAAACCAATGCAATTTTTGAGTACTACCGACTCTTAATTGAAAATTACCCTGCAATTGCAGGAAATGTTTCTATGCAAATGAACTTATTGTTGGGTTTAGTAAAGCGTCTTCTAATATAATCTTACATCTCCTAAACGGATTGTGTTATAATCAAAGAGTGAGCCTTTGAGGTTAACAATCAGTCAATAAATCAGTCTCAATACGTCTTGCAGTTTGAAAAGAACTGATCGAACTTGTTTTTTGGCGAGGTATCATTGGATTGCTCAAAACAGTAGCGTAACCGCAACTCTGGCAGTAATTATGATACACTTACTCGTCGGCGTTGGTACAGTAGCTGCAAAAGAAAAATAATTTACAATTAGCCGAGTACTCATGCCAGATCATGATAAGTACACCAATAATTCTTTCAGAGTGACATAAAGATCATAAGTTGGGAAATATAAATTCAATTGTCTGGTTGGACGGTTAGGTATTCGAGCAATTCATAATAATAATAATAATGATAATTTATTGACTTCTAAGGCGCAAATTCTATGTATATATATTCAAATGCACCGTAACATAATAATTACAACAAACTAAAGATAAAATAAAAATAATAATAATGATAATTGGAAAACAAAATAACAATAAATGTGATTCATAATAAATAAGATATATAACATATAACTAATTATTACTTGAAATGTTCTATTTGAAACCTTAACAATGAATAAATAACTATAAAAACTTTATCAATTACAAAATGCTTCGTTAAAAAGAAACGTCTTAAGCTTCAATTTAAAACTAATAATAGAACATAACGGAAAGTCAAAAGTTCAAACAAAAAATAGCCAACATAAAAAGAAACAAAAACCGAAAGAAAAGAAACAAGAGATTATCTTCCAAACTTTCTGAAATTTGTTTCGTTTTGAAGGGTTTGTGTACTTCCCACTACTTATCACTTAGGCCCAGGATTGAAGTCTTGAGCGAAATGAAAATTTCCCAATTGTCATAATTTGCGCCGAATTCTCTGAGCTATTCGTAACAGAAAAAAAAAAAAACATGAGTTCATGGCGATCAATGTGGAAACTCAATAACCCTTAGGAAAGTCAGAGGACTCAGTATCACACGGTGATAAACTCACGTGTAGGTGTTGGTCGTCTAGGGCGACACACTTTCTCTTTGATGGCCTGAATAACTTTACCAAGCCGACTAAATCCAGCCGTAAAAACATTAAGAGGACTGGAAGCAATCATTTGAAGCTGACTTCTGCTAAACCGCGAGCCGATTCCCAGTGCGAATAACTCTACACCTTCTCTCTTAAGGCGCAAGGCAGGTCCTCGAACACGATCCGAGGAAGCACCGTCGGATAATATAAGCAGGGTGCGTTTACGCCCTCGTATGACGCGCCTTCGGAACAGCGCACCTCGGACATATCTGAGAGCTCGTCCAATATAGCTTCCACGTCCTCTTGGCAGATATCTGGCAAGGATAAGAACAAGGTAAATCGCAGCTTGGATATTTCCGCCAGGGAGTGTTACAGTTTTATTGGCTGAAGAAAAAAGAGTTTGGCACGCGGAACAAAGTTTCGTCCACTCAAAATATGAAGAAATAGGCAAAGTGTGGAACAAATCACATGACACCAGTCTTACACAAACCTTATACGGTTGATGGCTCTTACAATCTGCGCTCTTGAGCCATATCTTTTGAATCCAAACACGAGTCTCGATCGAGAAGAGAACAGCGTCACACCCACTCGTGTTTGTCGCGTGGACAGGGGGAAGAAGCTGACCAAGGATCTCAAGAAGTCAATAACTTTTCTGAAGTTCCTTCGTCCGACGCTTCTGGAACCGTCGATAAGAATACCGAGATCCACCCGAGATCTGCATACTAAAGTATAGAAGATAATTAACAACACTCTATATGTCCTTGTGATGCCCTTCCCATTGGCAGTTAAATGGCAATCAATTTTCTCTGGCCTCCTCTTTATGCCTTGTTAGCGGAGACAATATGTTCCGTCTCAAAACCCTGTGATCTAACCAACCTTTCCCCCCCCCCCCGGGGTGATACTGGTCCCTTAATAATTGTCCCCTAAAAGTCTCCTGATGGTGTTTGAGAAATAAGAATAAAGTAACATGTTTAGGAAACATGCAATTTAAGGGGAATGAAGTCGCCCTACAAACTAAAATCTCTTGTTACAACACCAAAGTGGACTAACATACTAAATTCACGTATTTTGTAAAAGTGATTACGGTCTTAGCTGGAATAATTATGAACAGAAATGCGATGTTCATTAACAGCCATGAATCATTAAGTGAGTAAATTAGTATAGAGTTTAAAAAGGTGTTCAAAAAGTTACACGATAGAGAAGTTCTGAGAAAATACAAATATTTGACATCTACCTGGACTTGGAGTGGGCGGGGGTTTAGGAACTAGAATGAAAGAGAAATTCAATGTTTGGTAAGTAAAATAATGAAATACACTTGTATGAAAAGAAGTTAGAATAATGGGATAATTCAAAATATAACTAATATCGGAAAAGCTGGTGACACTTACCCTGTCGGAAGCATTTCTTCTGTAGGGCAACGATCTGAGGTCGCGTGAGAGCCACGTTAAACAGTTGCAGACACGCGATTCGTCCACGAAACACGCGACGAGAGCCAGGCTTTCGACCGATCATTATGGGATAATTGGTGGCCAATCCACTTGGGAACCTGCCAACATTTCTCTGGACAATCGGATAGCCGTTACACCACAAAGTCGCCAAACCGGTGCGGTGGTTGTAACTTGCTGCAACGTAGTTCCATGTCCTTGGTTTGAGCCCGCGACCAATCAGAGCTTTCACTCTACGGCCAGTCCTACTCCTTGGCATAAGCCGGAAGTAGAGTTGAGTGAGACGGGTTGCCCACAGATGGACTCCCCATCCCCTAGGGTTGAAATGAATCAAAGGTCCTGGAGATTCAGGATACACCCAGAGTATCATCGTCAGCGAGTACCGCGTGTCAAGACAACCATTGTTCGGCAGAACGGCATAGCTCACTCTTGTTCTTCCCCTTATCCGAGTTCTCCCTGGGAAGTAGTAAGCCCCCTTCGGGTGTCCGTCAGGTCCTTGGATGTAGGTAACACGTACAAGTCGTGCGGGAGGGTTCTTGTACTGACTGATGTCACCGCCTCGTACTGCACTTGTGAAGGGATACGTGGCTACAGCTCCTCTAGAAATGATGACTAGTAGAAAAATAAAATGAATAAATATATTCTGGGTTAATTTCTGTTGAGTTATTTTATCTTGTTCTTGCAAAGTGGCGTGTTTTCAAAGTTAAAATATAGCCAAGTTAAACTGAATACGATAAATTGAATTGTTCCAATATATTTGAAGTTTGAAGACATTCGATGTTTATCTGTCTGTCTATCGGTTGGCCGGTCAGTCAGTCAATTAGTCAGTTAGCGGATAGAATACTTCGAAGAAAAGGTATCAATTGTAACTCCAAATTTTTTTTTAGCCTTACCTGGGGAATGACACATCTTGTCCTTGATGGTTCTCACTATAGTCAACAAACTACGGACATTCGTGGAAAACACGTGGAACCGGTCTGTGGCGATTTTCCTCAAGTATCGCCCACTAGCCCGACCAAGGCCGACCGTGTACACTTCGACACCGGCAGCATGCAAGATTCTTGCCGGACGCACCACATTGTCACGTGATTCACCGGCAGTTACCAGTATAAGCACTCGTCTCCTGCCGCATGTGGGTTTGCCTTGGAACAGATATCTCTTAACATACATCAGGGCTCGCGCTGTATTTCTTCGTCTTCCACGCAATAGCGTCAACCTTCTAAGTTCTTGGTATACTTGCGCTCTACTGTGCGATCTACCAAAGCCGAACACCAGCCGCTGGCTTGAAGCGAAAAGGGTTAGGCCTATTCTTGTTTGTGACCTCTGGACATCAAATCGCCTGACCGTTTCCTTCACGTATTCGATGATGCGCTGAAAAGTAACGGATCCAGTTTAACGAGAGCCATCGATAAGAAAACCAAGGTCGATACGGGCTCTGCAGACTGAAATAAAAAAGAAATATGAGGAAAATCATTTTGACGATGTTTAAAGCAATTATAGTACATCTGGTGACAAACCAAGTAATCAGCGAAGCAACTTTTAAGCCAGCTCATTCAACTGAGTGAAAAAGAACAATAAGGAAACCATTGAAAGGAACGAGGTATCCTTGCCAAAGCATG